GAGTTGGTGTTGAGTAGGAGTTCCTTTCCTAAGAAAGACCACTTTTATATATTCACAAAGCTTATATATCAGTAAGGGCAGTACATTAATTAAAGAACTTGGATTTTGAGGCAGCGTCACGATGTGTCCTTTATGCTTATGGTGAGTATATCTTCTTTTCATTATCTGCATTAGATTCATATACGGGTACTTGAGTGAAATGAGAAGTTGTTCCAGTATTATTAGGTCTTGAAGGCATTCAGGGGTAGAACCAATCCACATGTCATTAGCTAACGATAACAGCAGAATTATATATTTTTGTAAATAATTATTGCAAGAATAGCAAATTCGTAATTGAAAGAGATCACGAGAATCATCAGAATTATTAAGATGTTCAGGTTGGTATATGAAACCAGAATGATCGAGGAAAACGTTTAGACTACTAGTGGTAATGTAAGGGTGGTTATAGTCAAAATTGATTTCAAATGATGGATCAGTAAGTTCAAGTGATGCTTTAATCAACGAAAGATCAATTGTTCACGTTGAAATTTTTTTGTAATTTTTGTGATTATAATTTCCTGAGCAGATTGCGCATGGTAATTCATGCAATTCATTAAGATCAACTATATCTCGAAGTTCAGTCAACGCTTCTTTAGCTATTCTTTTTCTAATAGGTTGTGGCCATGCAATATGTTATTAATTAATTTTTTCAAATTCCACATCCATATCTGTAACGTGTAAGGGAATGCTTAAACTATTAGCAAGATGATCTCTTGCAAGTCGAGATTCAATTCTCTTTTTCTTTAGTATAGCATTTCAATTATCATTATATAACCTTTGCAATTGAAGATTTTTACACTGGAAAATCATCTGTTCATGATTTTTTCTTTTCTTGGCTTCACCTTTAGTTTCTATGTTAATCATTGTGTGTTTAAAATAATATAAAAATGTATATGTTAAAGAATGAAATCAAAGTTCGTAGATATGAGAGAGTTTTGTATTAGTGAATGAGATATTTATTTAACGTCTAATTTATGATTAGAAAAATGAATACTTTTTCTCTTCTTTTTTTCCTTTTAATACAAAGCGCAATCTTTTTATACTTTATAACAGATAACGATTTAAGAAAACTTATGGTGCAATAGATTTCTATTTGATCGAATGAACCATCGTTAACCAGTAATAATTTTTTCGCATTCTTTTGCTTAATATAGTCGAAATCTTTAAGGAACTATTCGGGCTGTCTGAAGTGCGGCCATTTTTAGACCATATTTGGTAAATTATACAAACAGGAAAATTACAGTAAAATACTTGTTTCAACTTATTTATTCACAATCTACTTTACCAGGTTTGGTTCAGGCATTAAATAATTAATATCAATAAATAAACAATGTTTAATTAAATTCACTATTATTATTTTGGTAGAGTTCTAGATTAACGCTATTAATAGGTATCTACTAATTCTGATTTAAATTAATTCAGTATAGTTGAATCTTAGTCGAACATATCTTTGGTTCAGTTGGGATTTACTGAGAAGAATGGGTAGTATTATTAAAAATAAACTAACCAATTACACTAATGCTTACTATTAAATTTATTATATTTACATATAGAATATTTAGCAATTAAAAATTAAAATAAGCTATCTGATTTTATTTACGATTTACATAATTTAGAGATAACGATTAAAAATAAATAACAGAGAGATTGACGTTTATATGAATGATCCTAGTACTTATAATTATAACATGATCGAAAGAATATTATTTAATAGATTTTTAAGACATTTCAGGAAATCAAAACAAGCGAATTTGTATAATAGAGAACACAACTGATACAAAAAAAAAAAAGCTAAAAGAGTTTTAATAAATATTAATAATATAAGAACATACAACTAGTAAAAAGAAAAAGTTAAACCAGAAATTCATAATATTAATAAATTTTTTTTTTTGTCCTATTTTCACATCTAAATTCAAAGTCAATAGTTGCATATATACGTAATAACTTAGAATATGTGAAAGGATGAAAGCTTTAAGAAATTATTGTTTAGAAAGTACTATAAGCAGATTTTTCTATTTTCAATTATAATTTTATCGCATTAAGAATTAACTAATAACAGTTATGTTTATAAAAACTTAACGAATTGCTTATTATAGAGACTGCGTATTTATTTTGTGATCAGTTATTAGTATTATAAACAAGATCGATAATATAATAAAAAATAAGTCGAATTAATCAAGCGATTATGACATTCTCATATATGACATAATATTAATTCGGAAAAAAATATACAACGTAATAAATGAATTACTGTATTTGATATCTATCATATTCATTATTATGAAATTTTTTTAATATTGTTTTCCTTTTCCTTTAGTTGCCTTTCTAGTAGCTCTTTTTCTTTTTCTAGGTTGTGATTCTTCTAGTTCTTCAATGTCTTGAAATTTTTCATCACAAGCTAAATCTGTAGTGTTTTCATTATCACTTTCATTACCATTTTCATGATCTGATTGCTTCTCATCACTTTGATAATCTTCAATAGTAGTATTATATTTTTTATTATTATGGGATAGACCGGCTTCAATGTTGGCATTAGTAGTATGATATTCTTTATTATTATAGAATGTGGTAGCTTCGACGTTAGCATTAACAGAATTTACGGATTTCCTAAATGAACCATACTGATCTTGGGATGCTTTCATTACAGTAGAATCAATATCATCATCAATAATATCGATTATTGATAGTATATCCGATATTGTAGAGTGAGAACTTTCAGACCCACTAATATTATTAGACGAGGTTCTTAGATAATCAATATTAGTGCCTCAATTATCATCTTGTCAGACTTAGAGAATTTAAAAAGACCCGATATAAAATAATTAGAACGTAATTTAACATTAGAACCTAAATGGTCTAAATATTTAAACTTGGACGAATTTAGCGAGTAAATAATTGTCATGTCTATTTTAATATCAGAGTTACTAGTGACAGAATTATATTGAATTGTTTCTGCACTAAAATGAATAAAATCTCTAACATTCTTCAGCTGACGGATAACAGTTACAAAGTATATACTATGCGGAATAGTTACGGGAATATTACTCAAGTCAAATTTGCGATTGGAGTTTTCATTATCAACAATGCTTGAGTATGTGATAGTAAAACATGGTTCAGAATTCTCAACAATAAATTTACCTAAAATAAAAACCAGATCTCTGTTCGCAAATGTTTGCAACGGTTGATCAGCAGGAAAGAAGTATTTGAATCTGATTGTCTGAGTCAATTCTTTGATAAGCTTGTATTTAGCAAGTCCATTTGAGCACGAGCAGCTGTTTTTTACAGAGATTATGACAACAAGAAGTGAAATGTGAGAAACTATCTTAGGTCTTGAATACGATTGTAATTTTATTATGATAAAGAAATCAACCTGTACTCTCAAAAAGTGAACCTTCAAAAAGTGCATTTTTATATAGAAAAATAGTGCTTGAATTTTTCATATTACATTTTTTCTTTTTTACGATAATTTAATATTGCTTATCACTAAACAAAGATTTACAATGTTTGATTGTTTACAAGAACCTGACAAGTAAATCGTTATCAAAGATTTTATTACGCAAGAACAATATATAGTACAATAGCCTAAACAAAAGACATCTAATCAAGATCACAATTCACAAAGACAAGCGTAATATGAACACAATTAACACAATCATTTAATTATCTGTTAAGAAAAATTTTATAAATTAATAAACTTCATGCCATAATAGCATCCTGTAGTGATCACACCAGCAGGTTAAAAAAAAAAAAAAAAAAAAAAAAAAAAAATTTATAATATTCAATATTTACGCGGGTTATTTTAAATTTTAAACTCGTTTTACAAGATTAAAATCAGACAATTTTGTAGCAAAATTTATAATACAAAAACAATTGACCATATTGTCTATTATTACAAATTTTGTATAATTTAAAGGATCGTATTATATTTAAATTACTATTTATGATTAATTTTTTAATTCGTTCTACGTGATAAAATCGTATAATTTAATTACCATTTTAATCGCATAATATATCAATTGTTGAATTAATTGGATTTTTTTTTACTGCAACATCCCAGAATTATCATGTCCTAAATCAAGTAAACAACAATAATAACAAAATAAACGCAATTTAATAATTAATATCATACGCATTACCATTAATAATCGCATAATATATCAATCACTAAATTAACTAGATTGTTCTTTAACCGCAACATCCCAAAATTATCATGCCCTAAATCAAGTAAACAACAATGATTATAAAGTAAATGCAATTTAGTAATTAACATTTTACGCATTACCATTTAATCATATAATTTATCAATCGTCGAATTAACTAGATTGCTTTTTTTACTGCAATATACCGGAATTATCGTGCCCTAAATCAAATAAACAACAATGATAATAAAATAAATGCAATTCAGTAATTAACATTTTATGTATTACCTTATAATCGCATAATATATCAATTGTCGAATTAAGTAAATTGCTTTTTTTACTGCAACATCCCGGAATTACCCAGCCCTAAATCAAGTAAACAGCAACGATAATAAAGTAAGACCAAAAATTAGGTTTATTAACAAAAAGTATATACAATATTTAAATAAATAACAAATAATTTGCAAAGTTCACAATACATCTGATTTATTAATTAATAATCATTTTGGCTGAGTTTTTTGAATTACTCATATTCAGCATAGCGCGCACTTGCTTCATAACTAGAAATTCAGCGTAGCGTGCACTCACCTCATAACTAGAAATTTGGCATGAGATATACATATATATTCGGTTAGAACAAAATAATTAACATGTATTCTCAAATGATCAGCACGTATTTTAATATTCATAGATCAAATTACGATTAAATAACATTCCATATATAGTATTTTAACTCAATAAGGGATACGATGAAAATCAATAAGTGCCAGTTCAAATCAAGCGATGCGACCTAAATGTCAAACCTTTGATGATCCGTAATTACCATTTCATCAACGCAATAAAAAATACCACGAAAAAAAAACGGAAAATCTTTAAAATCTAATGAACATATGCGATAATTCACATCGGACTACCAGTATTCGTGCTAAAAAATTATCCTTTTACTACCATTTGTTATAACATCTCTAATTTAAAGGTGTTATACAGTCATAGGAAGATATTCGTATTATTGTTTAATTTTTGTGGACCTATCCGTGATTTCCCATGATGATTAACCAATCAAAATACACTATTTTTTTAAAAAATATTTATCGTTTAATACAGTACTATCATTAGAAAATGAACAAAAACTTCATGTAAAGAAGCTTACATATCAATAAATACACGTAAAATAATTTATCACATAGGTTTAGAGAATATATAGATACACACGAAGTAGTAAATATGATACTTATTACTAAAAAAACCAAGCTTTATTAAAGAATCTACAAACTATAAACTAAAACTTTAATTCACAGTTAATAAATCCAAATACACTAAGAATCGACCAAATTTTTAACATCAAACCCAAACTACTACGTACTAAAGATTCGTATTTATTCAAATTAAAAACGGTTAATAATAAAATTTTGTTCAAACTATAATAAAGTAATTTTAAACGAAAACATTTTTAGTTACCTTCATTTCGCAGTATAATTTCGCACAGCCCAATAGACTGTAGTGTATTTTTTATT